TGGGTTATCAGCTGAGCCTTTCACTTTAGAGAAGTGGCCTTTTGGCTAATTTGTACGTTCTGTATATGAGTGGCAATCTATTGTTAGTGTGTGGAAAGTAACATAGACAAAGTTACTGAAAATCACCATAAAAGTGTTACCAGCTTCAGTGTAATTGTTAACCAAATGCTGGGCACTGTGTTTTCCACCTATCACTGCAGAGTTGGTCCGACAAGTAAAGACTAGTTAAAGGCTATGAGCTGGGCTAGAATCAAAACACTCTGAGAGATATAACTTGCTATGTAGCAAGTACAGTATAGCTAGGCTTCATCTACATTAGCTGGGGAGGGTGGGTAACTAGCTCTCTTTGTTAACCCATTCTTTTTTTAGGCTCTGCGCATGCTCATGTAAAAAGGGGGCATTTGATGTATCCCTTGACTATTCCTACAAACAGAATTTAGAGACTGAATGTCGCCTACTTCTGACAGAGGGATGGGTGATTAAGATACATACAGGATATAAGAAATAAAACAAAAATGCAACAAATAAAGAGGGCATGGGTTTTGTTTTTTTTAATTATGGTACGCTATCAGAAGATGCTGTGTGTTTCTAACTTGATGACTACAAAAGGTGCAAAGTGTGAAACTATAAAACATATTATAGGCTACTCAGTACATTCACGTGACCTAATGCACAAGTTGTAGAAATACGTTTAATTCGTCACCAGATCAAAGGCTAAAAACACAATTAGCTGCAGTTCGCAGAGTATAAAACAAACTTGGGAAAGGTTGGCAGCACAGGGCCTTTTGCATGTTTGCATGTTCCCAACGGGTCTGCTTCCTATGGATCAACAGGTTACATGTATAAAACACATTCCTTCTGCAGAAAATCTTTATCGCTCTTAGAGCACGCTCTAAACGCGGTGATTCTGAAACGACTGTGGTGATCTAGCTAAGTTCAATTAGCGCACAAAACTTTGGCTTTCAGCTCGGCATTCCACAGAAACCCACTAATCTTGCTTCATAGTACACTCATCTGAAAAGTTAACCCTGGGAACTTTTTATCTTCTGACATGTTGCACAGTGAGATTTTGCACATGACATAAATGTTTGGCATTAAGGTGCTGTCACACTTTTTCAAAAGGCACTGCTCAACTCAGGAAACAGTTGTTACTTATCAGAAGAACTAACTGGTCATGTATCCGCCACTGCAGTTTTTAGAATTTATTTTATTTTACGCATGTGAATTTTAACTTTAACGTTTCGCTGTATCCGATTGATTGATCGTCCCCAAAGTGCATGCATACAGGTGAACTGTATGCACTTACTTGTTGTCTTTACACACACAGTCTTATTCATTATTGTTATTTTAATTTATCCCTGTAGACTGTGGGAAGAGCTCAGAGCAACGTTTTGGACGTGCTGGAATTCAGAAGGTCTAATGATCGTGACAATGACATTAACTTCCTTCTGAACCAACTTAGAAAAACTGAATGTAATGACGTAAAAACAAGTGAGACTGTAATTGCATCCTGGATTTAAGGGCTTTGAATTTATAGTTTAGGATAGCTAAAAGCTGTGTCAGCTGGGAAACGCTCTAATGCTCCTCCAACCCTAAACTGGATAAACAGTTAAGAAAATAGAAGCAGATGAACATTTTTCAGAATAAATGATCAATCGAAAGCAATAAGCACCATTTGAAATAAATTGCAGCAAAGAAAAAAAAGTGCACACAAAAACTTTTTATAAATATTGCTAAATATAATTTAGTTTAATAATTTGTTTACCCTGCCAAAAAAACAAAAACCCAACAACTACAAAGGATGTAATTTGTTATCATGATCAGCTCAACTACAAAAAGAAAAGGCCAAAAGAATCTAATAATTAAAATAACATAAAAAAGTGGGAAAGTTTAAATCTGGGTGAAATCTGTATCCATTGGTTGTTTTGTCAGACCAGCTTGTAAATCAGCTAAAAATGTTGGCTTTAAGAAGAAAAGAAGTGTTTCAGTTAGGAGTAACAACTAACTCACTTATTCTCTATTTTAACTTTATTTTGTTAAATAATACAGTAACCAGTAATATGTAAATAATATGGCTTTACAAATAAATTTGTTATTTTATTACCAGTTTCTTTCCCTTACAGTTTATGCAGGACTGTAAACTTCCTGCTGTATAAAAAGCTACAATAGCTATACAAAGTTTTCATGTTAAGAACTGGAGCTTGCTTATAGACCCAATCTGAGATGCTGTGCTGCAGTTATCATTTAATTATATTTAAAAGGGTTCCTACAGAATTAGAATTAAAGTATCATTTATATGTTTTAGTAGTGGATGTGTTTATTAAGGCAGGGGTGTCTGTGTGAATGACTAAGTCTTTTATTTTTATATATTATTTTTAATTGCAAATCAATACACTTAGACAATGAAAAATGATAAGAGCATAAAATAAAACACAGATAAATCTTTATGCCAAATCCACAGATGACCTTTATTTATTTCCCATCCTTTTTTGATGCATCTCGGCCTTATTTACTTTTTCATGGTCACTTTCATTTAAAGACTTCCTGCATATTTGTTACTGTAAAATGAAAGTGAAGGGGTTGGTGAATTTGTAAACACACACACCCCACCTGTCTTTCCTGAAAGAGGGATCACTCCTTTGCTCCTCTCCCTGAACGTTCCTTTTCTTTTTACCATCGAAAGGCTTTTAAGGATAGGGTATGCTGTGTGCTGCAAACAGCTGAGCACAGGTATGCAAAAACCAGTCTACAAAGACTAAGTTAGTACAAAAGTTTTTCTTTTAAAAAAGAAAAAAAAAAGTTCAGTGCTTAATGTTTACAAAGAAAAAGTAATTTTAGTGAATAATAATTATGAGGATTGTTGATTAGACATAAAGCTTCAAGGGGAAATTCACAAAAAGCCTGTGGATATTCAACACAAGCCCTATGCTTATTGTCTGTCTACAGTGAAAGGCAGCGTCAACCAGTCAAACTGGTTTCCAGTAGACCCTAAGGCCAGGCAAGGAGGAGCGGGAAGAGGAGGCAGCTGAGGAGGAGCCGACCCCATCATTTCTCTTTCCTTAACAAACGCGTTCAGATGGACAAACTGTTCAATTTTTGATGCTCTTTAAACACTGCTTTAAATAACCAGCTATCACAGTGAACTTTTCAAAAATCACAGCAGTACTTCACTAACAGCACTGCCTTCACGTTTGGATTTACTGTAATCCTCAACACCCTAAAATAAAATAAAAAAATAAAAAAAAATAAAAAAGAGTTCTGGTTTTTCCCTCCTGCAGTGGAAGTCTAGTGACGGACGGACAGCCCGAGGGAAGGGTCAGCTCGAGATAGGCCCACATAATAAATTTGCCATGACGTAACAGAGACAATATCAGGAGACTTCCTTTTGCTTACACACAAATACGCTCACTCTTTACTGGAAACTCAGCTGTAAACGACAAATGTACAAGACAAATGTACACGAAAGGAGCAACCAGTTTAAACACTAAGGCCACCATGCTGGAAAAACACTCTGTGTTCTTTTCACTCTATGTAACCGCTCCCCTGTTAGACAACAACTGAGTAATGCTGCACTCAGGAGTTTCATTTATTTTCTGCTTATAGAGGTTTACTCATCAGTTAATTTGACCTATATACAATAAACATAGAAAATATAAGATCACAAAAAAGAAAAGCTGCAAACTCACATTTGGGAAACTAAAGTTAGGGATTTTTTTTCTCCCGTTTATCAGAAACTATCACTATTAAAGACCCGGTTGTTTGAATCCCTGCTTTAACAGTGATTGTCAGCTTCTCACAGATGGCGTCCCAAACGCAAAGGACGTGTTTTTCACTGTGTGTGGTTGCATGATCATAATCTTATTGTCAGATTTGTCAGCACATAATGGGGATAGTTATAGGGCCAAAACAAAATATTCATTCACTTTAAACATGCATTTACTGAATGTGCTAAAAACAAAAACAAAAAAAACAACAACACTTTTTCTGAATGTATGATTTCCTTAAATTTTAAATTAGTACATAATTTAAATGAAAAACAACCAGATAAATGAAGAAAGGGAGATGGATGCAGGGCAGGACACAGGCTGATCTGGTGTAGAGATAATGGTGTGTTTTTCAGTATTAGCGCACCTTCATACACTAACCCACCTCAGGAAACCGGTCGTTCCATCATCTCAGCAGACAAATCAGAGTAGCATACATACATAATTCCACCATGTGAATAGGAGCCGTCAGTTCGGCATACAGACGACAAAAGGTCTGTATGCCAAACTGTAAATTGGCAAGTCAGGGTGTCATAAAGTGTATGCTGATTTGAGAACGTATGCTGACTGGACAGAACACCGGCATCGCAGCGACGCACAGAGAAACGGAGAGCCAACATCTCCTGACCCCTCTGTCTCCAAAAGTGGACCAGGTGAGAGACCACCTCATCCATAGCTGCAACAAACTGTTCCCAACATAAGCTCATCTATTAAAACATTTTCAACTTTTGCTTCTTCTGCATGATCTTGGCTCTAGCTAAGCTAAAGTAAGCGATTGGGCTTTTAGGGTGGAGGAAACACATTCAACATCTGATTCGCTATAGTAAAAATGCAAAAAAGTAATCAATGTGCCAGATTCAATTAAAGATCAATGTAATTTTAAAAAAATCTATTTTTTAAAATAATCATTGGATGCAAAATTGTAATTGAAATTAAAATTTAATTAACTGCCCACTGTTAGATAGTTAACAAAAAAAAGCTTGAATTTTGCGGCCATTGTGTACTTACTGAAATATTGGAGATTGTTCAGTAGCGAAACACAAATTTAAAGCCAGAATACTTCACACACAAACTGATTCTGTGGCCGCAGATTTCAACCCCAAGGGGCGTCCAGTGAAGGGTGAACATTACTTTGTAAAATATGATTGATCAACTAATCTGGAACACCAGTCTTAATAACAGAAAGACATGAGCAAATAAATCAATGAATCAATCTCCAGATCAGTGGTGGGACCTTCATCGACTTCCTCCCAGGCCGCTGGGAGCAGACTGGTCTACGCGTTTATGGAAGACATGTCCCTCTGGACACATTTAGGTTTATTACAGACAATTAGAGTTAATCGGCGGTGTGGTACTCTCAGGTGAGAGGCTCATTCAATTGACAACCTCCCAAGCGGAAGCACACTTGCTAATTACTGAATCACCACGCAAACACACCAGGCGGACTCATACAGGCTGTCGCGTGATACCTTACTCACCTCTAGCACAACTAGCCAGAACACCTGTAAGATTCAGCAGGTTAGTAATGAGAATCTGACACATTTACACCTGTTAGTGCAAAATAGCAGGAGCGTTTTTACAACAAAAAACACCCACTGGGGAAAAAGAGATTTGATTTATTAACTTGCAGCAGCTTTGTTTAAAACCAAATTGCTCTTCAAAAATTGTGCTGTTCAATTTTGTTTTATTGTCTGATCACATGTTTCATTGTGTCACGACATTCATTATTTTCTTTACACACAGATCAAGAGGTTCGAATGAAAGCAGAAGGAAAAAAAACTGCATTTAAAAGTCAGAGATCTGAGATGAAGTACAGTTGAACTTACTGTAGGAAAATCAAAATCCTTCTGGTTTACTAGGTTCAGGACATAATCAATCCGAGACTGGTTCTCAGGACAGGCTAACTGGCAAGGAGGTGTGAGCGTATTCATGGCCGCCACAATCGTCTGTATGAAAAGAACACACAAACACAAAAAGCCTCATTCATTAATATTATTCATAAATGTGTTTACACTGCCTCAAAACGGCTTTAGATACAAATTTTCATCATCTTAGCCCCTCAGTCACCCACGCCTAGAGGCTGCTAGTGATAAATCTGTATTCCCCATGTGGTTGGAGGTATTCGAGACTGCACCGCAAGCCTCCATCTGATTGCTTTGGTCGCTAGCAGGTTGCTTCTGCACTTTTTGAAATTTCTCCACCACCCAGCGAGTGGGTAGTGGGTGTTTGTAGACGAGATGATGCAAACTACAAGTGACTGTGACAATGTGGTACTGCCCAAAGTAACAGCAAGGAGAGTTGTGGTGCAGCAAATTTTTGTAACGACTCCCAGCTGGTTGGGAGCGCACATGGGGTCGCTGACCGGTCTGAAGCAACGTGTGACTGAAAGCCTCCTCGCTTAGAATAAAGCATTGAGTTTTGGATTTTTTTATTATTTTTTTTAAGAAGCTATAATCCATGTTTTTTCCTCTTTTAGCCAAAAGCCTGCATATCAGACAGAACATTACAAACAAACATCATTCATCTATCAAAGGAAAAAAGAACAGTGTCTTACCTCTATAGCTTCTTTAATGTTGTTTTTAATATCATGAATTTTCTGTTTTTTCTCCCTGTGAAGAGAAGAGTTCGCATGTGCTTTATTTATTTATCACTTAAAAGCATAGATGGCAACTAGCTTTAATTGACCTAAGCTACAAAGGTTAACAGTGAATGATGACATTTAAAGAAATATTCATGTACAGCTATAAATCCAAATATGGCCATCGCAGTGCAACAGGGACAGGAAACAATATTTTTAAATAAAAACTGTAATTACACAGAGATGTTTTGTTTCTTCAGTGTCAGTCCCAGTGGATTCCAGTGGAAATGTGCTGTGTAATATTAACTTCTCCAGGATGTATTTGTCAGCCTAGAGCTAAATTATATCTGACATCAGTATTACGACTGCCCCACATACACAGATATTTTGTTTATTTGCTGACCAAGTGCAACCACTGAATTTTGCTGATACCAAAGAAGAACAGAACAGCTTGTCTTAATTTTGACAATGACATTCATTAATAGGGATGGGTACCGGTATCCGGTGCCATGATGGCACCGGTTCTGACATAAACGGTAGTAACCAGACCGAAAAGCAGCGCACATTTCGGTGCTTTATTTCGGTGCTTTTTTTTCCTGAGCTGAGATACACTTCTAGCCAATCATTTTACGTTTCCGAGGATAGTAGGCGGGTCCAGGTACGTACGTTCTTTTAGAGCAGAGCTACAGATTAAAAATGCCCAAGGCGAAGCGGCTGTACTTCACAGCAAAATATGCAAACTCAGCAGCCTGCAACAAGTACTTTAAGCTGATACTGTGATACTGTCAAAGGAGGTAACACCTCGAATCCGATGAAACACCTGGCGACGCATAGCGGGTTTTTTGTTTTTAAAGCTGAGAAATGCGCCGTATTTGATAGCTTGCTGCGAGACCTCACACCGAGCACATCTACTGCGGGTGGGTTGCCTGTTATCAGACCCGGATTTAGCAACATCCCCCAAAAACCCGGAGAGGAGAGTCCTGGCCCCTAGCCCTGCCAGTGTAGCAGAAATGATGACAGATGATGATGCAGCAGCAGCCGTTCTTCTCTGCGTGAGTAGCTTAATGTTGTTCGTGTGTGATTTACGTTGAGTAGGCTAACCATGTTATTACATTAATGCATGTAAGGCGAACTAGCAAACACCGTCGTAGTTACATGCGGCTGTCTTCTTGTTTGATGGCAAATACTCCCTTCACCCTGGCCAAAAAGGCTAAAATGACCAAAGAAAAAGTGGAAAACAGTTAAACATGAGAGGTTTTTGGACAAAGTTTGTGTTTTTTCCATTGTTTAAGCACTGCTTCCAGCCAAGAGTGATGCCATAAATCCCCTATAGCTGCAGAAAAGGCTAACATTGTTATCTTTTTACAAAAAAACCAGCTGAACATGAGAGGTTTTTGGACCAATTTTGTGTTCTCCATTCTTTAAGCACCGGTTTGAGCACCGGCACCGTTTCAAAAGTACCGGTTTGGTACTAGTATTGGATAAAACCTAAACGATACCCATCCCTATTCATTAAGCACTAAACCACACAGCTAGTTGATTGTTATAGTACATTTTTGTACTATAGTTTGAGAAGTCATGAACACCAAGGAGCCCAAAGTACTGCTAAATTAAATAATACGGTCCACATTTTGTCCTTCCTTGTCGTTGTAGATAAACAGAATTTCACAACGTGGCAGTTCATGCAATCTGTGAGCTTTGCTGATATCGCGAAGCACTGACGTCACACAGAAACATAAGTGCTGGATTCCTTCAAATGTGTCCTGACAAAACACAAAAGTCTGGTTGTTGAAATTCAGATTTGATAATGAATTCCACAAATATCTCAACAATGGGCTACTTAACCTTACAGCAAGAATACAAACCCTAAAATTAAGCGTGTACAACTTGTGCTGAGGGGAAAGATTTTAAATTAAAGGCATGGGTGGATATCTCTCGCTCATGCGTCCTATGTAAAATGTAAACAATACTTCCCAGTTGTAGCCACTTCACATGTTAATATAAAAGCACATGTGGGCATTTTAATCAGCTACCATCGCTGGCTGGCACTGAAATAGTAAAATATGTCAATATTTTAACCAAAAATATAATATTTCTGGGATGAATGCTGGTCATTTCTAATTGATATTCGAATCTTTTAAAGCATTGTTGATAATAAGGTGGATTAATAACAATTATATCAGAACAGGCAACACAACAGCAGCACAAATTCTCCAAAACAACCCCGTGTCACTTATTCTGAGCACTTTCTGCCTTATTCCAGATGTGAATTTTTGCAGTGATCCTCATTCTCACCTATGACTATTTCTCCATACAGAGACCAACACAGCTGTACAGATTTCTTTCGTCTGCATATTTACAAATATTTTTAAAAAGCACCCAATTTCTCTAAATAATTGCCATTTAAATTCATGGCAGTAGGATATATTCCTGACTGGTGAAAAAAACAAGTCAAAAGAGCACAGAAGACCTGAACACGCACTGCAACTGACCTAATGACATGAAACGCAATCAGGCTAAAAAGAGAAATCCACCCCAAGTACAAAAATCCATTCAGACAATTGCTTTCACAGGATTTTTGCACACATCCCTGTTTTGTTTTTTCAAGGCAAATATTAATCGATTCCTTTCTGATTGCTGGTCAAACCAGTCGCTGACTCTATGTGACAAAATTCACCAAAACACATGCAGTAAGCAGCTTCAGGTACTTTTCCTGCTATGAACATATGTGTCACAGTCAGTAATCACTAACTAACAGCAAGTCTGTGAATAACTTGATAAAAGGTCAAATAAAACCTGACTGTGTTTGAGTTTGTGATCTCTCTACGGTCTAAAGCATAGGTGTCAAATTCTGGCCCCAGCCTAATTACATTTGGCCTGCGAAGCCACACCAAATTACTATTAGAGCTGGCCTACTGGTATTATACAGCTAATATATATATATTGTTTAGTATTAACCTTTGCTTGTTCCATATTCAGTTTTTCAGCAAAACTTGTTTGAGTCCATAAGAAAAGATTCATTCTCATATCTGGAGGAAGATTTTTTTTTCAATAAATATTAACGTCAGCCCGCGACTTTGTTCCAGTTTTGAATTTTGGCCCACTGTGTATTTGAGTTTGACACCCCTGGTCTAAAGGAAGCTTTGCTCAGGTAACACTCGAGTACAACCATGAGTGCACTCTGTTGACCACTGTTGACCTACCAAGTCCAACAGAGTCAGTCCTTTCTCCCAGTTAAACTGTCATTAATCTAAAAGAAATGATGTGAGTTTCTAAACTCAGCTGCTTTAAATCAAATCTCCTAGATAACAGGCTGTAATTCATAAGGCTACAGCTTTTATATCAAATTATTAACATCATTCTATATTACCACGGTATGCTTTAAAGTGAGCTTAAAAAGCAAGTTGCTAGCCTATGACTCGCGTCCCTCTGCTTCACAGTCAGATCCATCTCTCACTCATAATGTCTCGATTTATTTTAAAAAAACAAATAAAATGGTGATGGCACAAATACTCAGTTTGATGTTAGTCTATAGGTTTACCTGGCGACCCAACCTTGTCATGTGTTTCATTCTCTTTGTCTAACTTGTTTATATTTTCTTCCAGTTGGCTTATTGGTTGACTCAACAGTTGTAGCCTGTCTAAAAAAACAAATAATAAAAAAAATAAATAAATATTGTCCTGATGCTTTTTGGCTACATCTATGTGAACACTCCCACTCGCCTGAAAATACAACAAAGTGATTGAAAGCATTGTTAAGAACATGCCAAAGTAGCATGTGGTGATATAACCCTACCCATAAAGAAATCCCAGCCAATCAAAAGTATACAAGCAAGCAGCAAACAACGCAGCACACGGCAGCTTCACCTCCATCCTAGCTGGGAGGAGCCAGGATGTGAGGAAGCAACATGAGTGAGGGAATTGAGGCTCCATGCGAATGTAATGAAACTCACTCAAATGCTATATTCCTCACACTAGGACCTCCACAAGATAAATAAGTAAATAACAGATCACCTCTATTAAAAGGAGCTGTCCTGCTCAGTCATCTCTCGTGTCCCCCACCCATTTCCTGGTGTGTCACTAAACACCACCATCATCATCATCCCACTACCAGCTCCTTACAAATACCTGTGCCTGACCTTACCTTGAATGGCAAAGCCTTGCATGCAGAGGGGGAAACCCACAGAGTGAAAAGGAACCCTAACAAAGACTGGGAATTCATCACTGCACCGGGGCGCCTGGGTCTGTGAGAAGCGTCTGTTTGATGCGACCCAAAAATAAGCACATGATGATTCTTCTAGCCCAAAACCCCTTTCAAGGAAACTGATGATTAAGAATAGAAAAATGTGACTTTTATTTCCACTGCATCAAGTTGGGAAGGAGTTTTAGGAAATTCACAAGACAGGGTGGCTAAAAGCACCCAAAGCCATGTTTCCACATGAAAAGCTGACAAGGACAAAGCCTTCCTCCTGTGCCACACAACTTTTCACTAATTTGCTCCACAACAATACAAAAAAGCCCCAACAACTTTATTTTCCTGACTCACAGGAATGACAGGAGCTCCTCCCCTCTGTTAAGAACATCGGGTTGAAAAAGTGAGAATATGTTTAGTAAATTTTACAGTTTACCAAAAGGAAAAACCTTTTACTTCTTTGTTATAAATGCGAGACAACATAAAGCGCATCTAAAGCTGTGTAATTACCTTTAAAAGGCATTTTGCTGCTTAAACTTTCTCTAAGCAACCTTTTTCAGTCACTGCGTCTATTTATCAGTAATGTTAACAAACAGCTGGCTCACAGCACAACCCAGACACCAACGCAAACTTGCAGTAAGTACAAAAAAAGACAAACTCATGTTACTTCAGATGGTACACAGTTCAGCAGAGTTCTCCATAGGGATTTTGATTATGAGCCATAATACTGTAGCGATCCAAAGTGAACATAATACGAGGTTTGATATTGTGAAACGATGGTATGATATCAACCTTCCTTAAAGACATTATATTCACCATGTTGCAGAAAAAAAAAACTATAACCAATCAAATGGCAGCGATCTTCTACCAGTGTGATTGACAGGAGATCAGTGTTACCATGGAAATGTTTAAATCAAGCTCTATTGTACCAGTGACAAAGCTAGACAGGAAGTGGTTGGTTAGAAGGATGTCCACCTGTTATGTTGGGCAGTAATCAGTCCATACCAGCAGTTAGGCTAATGTTAGCTAACATTAGCCAGAAGAAAGACCGTCTGATGCAACTCGGCTAGCAAATATTCATCCAGCATTGGTAGTCTTATTAAATAAACTTTTTTATCCTTATACTGACACCAAGGTGTACATTTATCTTTCAGCCACTGTAGACTGCATATAAATGACAAGCATAACAGGTCAGGACAAACTGGAGTTTGTCTCCTCACTGATTTGGTTGATGCTAATCGTAGATAGAACGTGAGTACGTGCTCTGCCGACGTAACGTTGACTTCAGTGCACTTAACGACAGGTGTCATTACTAACAATGGTTTTCTGGAAGAAAGAGTCTCTGGGTGTTGCAGAGGCTTAATTCTTAATTGTCTACACCTGACGAGGCGTGGATAAAGGCATGCCTCAGGTTGGCTCGGGGAAAGATGCCACTTCTTACCTTCATGCTCTCCGGGCTGTTGTCTTTAGCTGAGGTTAAGTAATTTAAAATAAAACCAATGTTTCTGCAAACTCTGGACTCAGTCTACACTTTATGTTGCGTCGAGCCGGGCTGTGACATAAGGACCTGGAAGTCTGTTTTAATTCTTATAAACAATGTGGAGTATATTTAACCAGCATGCATCCCTACTGGTTTTAGAAAAGGTAAAAACTAGAAGATCCTGCTGTGCATGAAGTTAATACAAAGTAAGGAACTACTGCAGCAGTGCTTCTGCAATCTAAAAACAGTTTACACTCGCTGCATTACGAGGTTTTATAAAAAGGTAAATGCCTCTTAAAATACTGCACTTGATGCATATTGTTTAACCCACTATGATAAAATACTAAGATATATATATGGAATTTGTTGGTGTACAGACATGTATAGAATATTTTTTTAAACAGTTATCATAAAAGGCTTTCAATCTGATTTACCATTTTCACAATGATTCCAATAACATTTTGTTTTTTCTTTCATTGTCCAACTAACACTTCAAATACAGTATTTCTGTTAGCTATAATATAAAAACAAGCTGGAAACAGCTGCTAATTCATCACTTCTAAATATATGGTTAAAGAAATTATTTATAGGCAAGAACAGTAACCTCCAATGCTTCGTTTTACTTCTGTATTTAAGGTAATTTTAAAAGTAATAACTAACCAAGTCTCCTGCTCTACCTGAAAACTTGAAGACTGGTGGGAAAGGTATTTTGTATCAGTGGTATCTTCTTAATGCCCCATTACTACTCTCCAAAACATCATTACATAATTTAGGTATTTGGTCAACAAATATGTCAGTACCTGAGCAGATATCCATCTAAATGGGTTCCTTTACTCTAAAGAGAAACTGTGGGAGTGTTTAGTGAATAGTGAACTGAGGGGGAACCAGCGAAACTTACTCTGCGTTGAAGCCATTAACGTGCAATATTCGCATCTGTTTGACTATCGTACTTTTCCCGGATTCACCAGCCCCTGAAAGCAGAGAAACAACAAGTCAGACAAGAGTTTCATGAAGTTGTACAAGCAACTAAAATATCCAGGAAGGAGCAGAGATGGAAGGCATTTTGATGTTCCAAGGTTAGACGAGTCCTGGAAGCACTCGTCTAACCTTTAATGATTTGAACTACAACAATGTTGCACCTTAGCAGAGAAGTCCTGTCCATTGTGCACAGACATTGCCCTGACACAGGCCTTACCTACTTTTAAACAGTGCATGTTACACAAAAGCCAAAAGGCGAGACCTCGATGTACCCAACCTAAGAGTCAAGAACCTTTTACTTTTCTTATCTCTTTTTACTGCTCTTATCATTGACTGCTCTTATCTTATGTATGAAGAAACTTGAGTTTTACTTGAGTATTCCCATTTCAACAGTGCATTTTACTTCACTGTGTTTAAGAAGGAAATATCCTTTTTTAAAACATTACTTCATGTATTTGTTACTTTGCAGTTTCTGATTTTACATTAAAAAAAACAAAAAGGTCAGCGTATTATACACACTGCATTGTTAAAGATTAAACCGGTGGTTCCTGCCACTTCTGGCTAGTGACCTCTTCCAAAGGCAGTTCCTCCAAAGAGAGATTTCCCCTTTAAACGTCTCATTTAAAGAACAATTTTGAGACCCATTATGTCACAAAGCAACACACACAGACCAGAAAAGCAAACCTCATGACCCCTTAGATTTCTCCTGTGACCCAAACCCTTATCTTGGGAACCACAGGTAACTTCATGAATTGTTCTACCTCACCTTGGCAAAGCACTAAACACTAGGATACTACTTTTAACTTGTACTACGCATTTTATGCAACACTGAATCGTAAATACATTTAGCTTGTGTCGTTTTACATAGGGAGGCTGATGCACGACACGTGCACTTTCACCAAAGTCTGCCCCTTCTTCCAGAGGTGACAAGGACCAAGGGAAAAAAAAAAAAAAGCTCCAACATGTAGACAACTATTCTCTCCCCGAGCATGTCATTCAGGAGAAAAACTGCTAGACCCTGAACCCTGATGTTAATAATTAAGAAAATAAATTTCTGGATAAGAACAGCCTTCAACGTGTCCTTGCAAAACTGAGTGTGAAAGGAGCCCGGCCATCACATCTCCATCCCCAAGCACCAGGAGCCAGCCAGGCTACAGGCCTGCTTTTCAGAGAAGGCGTAGAGCGAGAGAAACAGGCATTCAAGGCAAACTAGTAATCCTAATTTGCACTCTGTAGTCCAGCACAAGGGCTGGCCTTAAGGTTCACACTGCATCATGTCAGGAAGGCTCTCGTGATGAGGCCAAAAATAGCTTTACCAAATAATGGCTAATTAGAGGATATTAATTTCCAGAGTAGGTGGTGTGGAGGGATTATGCAAAAAGAGAGAGAGAAAAAAAAAAGTATGTCATATGCAGTATGAAAACTAGGCTCAACCAGGATGTACGCTGCAGCCACAAATGAACCAGATCACAAGTTTGTTTTTTTGTTTTGTTTTTTTACATGTGTGGAGGTGAGAAAGAGCCAAGCACAAACGCCCGCGAGTGGCCTCCCGGCCTCTGCGTGGTGCCTGTGTGTGTGTGTGTGTGGTTCCCTCACACAGATGGTGGTGTCTGTCTGCCCCCCTCTCTCTCACATGTTCTGCAATCATGCTCTATAATATCCCATGAATGCAGACAGGCCTGCTTTTTCAACTGTCCTGTGCCAAGACGCTTGAAGCGAATTAGTCGGGACTTCATGGCGTTGCATCAGTTCTCGATGCCTTGCTGTAACAGTTGTCCTTACACACTTTTCATGGGTACAGTCTGCTACAGTGGCACCAACATGAGTTAAACAGGTGAAAATGCTGTTTTGTAGGAACAAAATGGAAACAGTAATGTTAAATTTCACAAAACCTACCCAACAGCAGTAGCCGGTGAGTTGCCCGGTATATCTGTTTGTCTTTTTGGAGCTGCTTCTCAATCTTTTTGTTGGCTTCCCTCTGTGCCTTCTCCTCATTTCGTTGGTCTTCAGTCTTACTATTGCCAAGGCAGCCCATCTTCCCAAAAACCCAGTTGCAGGTTCAGGGTTTGGAGGCAGGGCGGTTGATATGGTTGGTGAAAGAAGAGGGTGATGGTCAGAAAAGAGAGGATCTTTTTTTAAATCAATCCCAAATTCCTAGACTGGCCCAAGAGAGGAACACCTGGCTCCAAATGGGTGACATGTATCTTGCCAGATGCAGAAGAAGTAGACGCCAGGTAGTAGACAGTGAGCTTCACCAGGCTTTGGCACAATGTGTATGTGTGGAGGAGGGGATGGGGTGGGGGGTGTGGATATTTACTGGCAATTTATCAGCAACAGATCAGTCAGAAAGGAGCAGAGCTACGATGCCGCCCTTCTCAGATGCTTGATTCCTGTAGTTTTTTCCCCCCACTGTAAATCCGCAATGAAGTCATCAACATTGATATGAGAGTGGATGTAAAATTTCCAGCTTCTGGCTGCACATGAATGAGTGTCTAGGGATGGCGATGGTGCTGGTGGTGGGGTCCAGCTTCCTTAAAGGTGTATTTTTTTTTACCCCCCCTTCTTTTCCTCCTTTCTTTTAAATATACACGTATGTATATTTTCTCAAGCTTTGATGTTAAATCTTCCTCAGCAAATGTCTCCTCCGGAGCCCATCTTTGGCAGATGCCTCACTACTCTGCCGTTCAATTCATTTCCACTCACAACCAAAAAGAGCCCCGTTTTCTTTTTTTCCATCGACTCTCCCTTTAAATATAATTTCAGGTTATTATTTGAAATCCTATCTCAGGCTGGCCAGGAAAAAAAGCACATTAACAGGGCGGATGGGGAGAAATTAAAAAATAAATATTTCCTCTTAAAATGACGGCATGTGAATCATCAGGCTACAACCCGGGCTTCTGTCTCCACCACAACAGTCACATTATATATAGGAGCCTTATCAATAAGATCCCGTTTTTAGCCGATGTCCAAATTATTTCCTCTCCCCCGTAAGTAGATGCTGGTGCTTGGCTTTTTTTCCTGAGGTTTCACGAGAACCCCCCCACCCCCCAAAGAAAAGAAAAAAGGAAAAAAGAAAAAAGAAAAGAAAAAAAGGGGGGAAAGAAACAAGGCCCCTTCTCCGTCCTTTTTCTCTCCGTAACGTCAATTTATATTTCTCCTCACATCAGAAAGCTTCTCCGGGGCCGAGCTAAGGCGGTGTTTGGCAGCTGGATGTCCTTGAATATAGCGCGATATCCAGGTGATATTCGTGGAAAATCCTCCGTTATTTTCCCGTTTGGCGCAGGTACAAGGCGCTGTCAAGTCTCTCGGATTTTTGTATTCCCTTTGAATCCGTATGGTAGATTATGGTTACATGTGCATGATACATGAACATACCGCGGTGTTTTCAATCACTGGTCCAACGGCGACGCTGTCATTTTTAACCGCCGACAGGCCGCGGTTGCTCCGATGAACCGGTCGGGGAGGTGAGACTCGTTTCTTTGCTGTGTTACCCTGAATTATTTTTGCCCACCTTTTTTTTTCTCTGAGAATTGAACATTGAGATAGATAGCGTTGTAGAGGCGGGGTGGGGCAAACGGCTCTCACGGAACCCTGGGAACGAAGAACCGTGGTCAAGTTTTCCGGGACGGAGAAACTCGACTTCCGCTGGAAGCTTTCACAATAAAAGCCGAAAGGACGTATAAGCGGAACTAATCTCTTAAAAATAGATGTTTTCGTCCTTTTTAAGTATTTTTTGCTGACACACACAAAAACAAATACAGGGTGTGTATACAGTTAGGTCACACGTCTTTGATTTAATGTTTTTCTGTGTTTTCATTTTATTTGTATTCTTGCACTCTACAAGACATTGCCTGATTGTATACTGGACCTTTGTGCAATCCCTCAGTTCACAGTTCACTAATTCGAGGTCATTTCTTACTATTATATATGAGAGTTTATTTTGACTGAAAAATAAATAAATAAATAAAAAAGATGCCATCCAAGTCAAAATTACTGGTTCTCATTTCAAATTTTAGACTTCATAACTTGAAACTTCTTTTTCCAAAAGTTTGAGTAAGTTGAAAATTACATATTATCCCACATGTTTGGCCTATGGCTGGCAAAAATAAAATAGTTTTGGTTGTTTTGTTTATTTCTTTCCGTGGCCTGAAAACAAGCTTCCATAATAATTTACAAAATCTCTCTGTTGTGGCCTTCTTCAGACACAAAAAACTTG